GTCTTGAACCCTCCCCCATGCCAAATAACAATAATTAGATTGCCTAACATAGATTTTCTTCTTATTTATGGGTATATGTCTATGTACATGTGTGTGCATGTGCACATGTAGGCACACATATGTGGAAGTCGAATACCAAATGTTGTTCCTTAGGACTACTATCCACTTTGTTTTATCTTTTAATTTTGTTTTTGCTCTTTCAAGACAGAGTTTCTCTGTGTAACTCTGACTGTTCTGGAACTCTCTCTGTAGACCAGGCTGCCCTTGAACATAGAGATCCTCCTGTCTCTGCCTCCCAAGTGCTGGGATTAAAGGCGTTCACCACCACTGTCCAGCTTGTTTCATCTTTTAATTTTTAAATTATATTTTATCTATTGTGTGTGCGCGCATGCACACACACACGTGCATGCACTCTCTCCAAAGCATGTATGTAACTCTGTATGTGCCGTGGCTCATAAGTTGGAGAGCAACCCTCACGAGTTGGTGCCCTCCTATCATATGGGTGCAGGAGATTGAACTCAGATCTTCCGGATTGGCAACAAGTGCATTACCCTGTTGAACTCTTGACAGTCTCTATCTTGTTTTCTGAGACAGAATCTCTAATGGGACCTGGGATCTAGGCTTACCAATTAGTCAAGACTGACTGGTTGGAGCCCTAGAAATCTTCCTGTTTCCGCCTCCACAGAAATAGGATTATAGTTACCACCCACTACACTTACCTGCCTCTGCCTCTTAAGTGATGGTTCTGAGGGTCTTTAATAAATACAGTAAGGGATTATGATAGAGGTTGGCTTAGTGGAAAAACTAATATAGGTAAAAGCAAGATATCGTGTTTCCTCCCACCCCACCCCTGATAAAGCAGGACCTGCAGAGGACAGAAAATAAGAACAAGGAAATGTCACACAGCTAGTTTCTCTTGAGGAGCCATATAGACTGTGGTTTAGGTTAATGATTAAGAAAAACAACCGAGTCCCTGAAGTCAGCTAGCTCAAGTTTTTTTTTTTAATCTTAACATTAAAAGATATGTTCACAGGTTTCAAAATGTATCATAGCTGAAACAAAGCTTTAAAAAAGAATTTAAGGTTAGATTAAGATGTTTTTGTTAATAGCTTTGAAGCAGAAAAAAAAAACAGAGGAAACAATCCAAAGTTTAGAAAGGCATATAGTTGAGTGAGGGACTTATTGAGGTCAAGGGACAAGAACAAAGCAGCCCAATTGTTATTAGCTGATATGACTTTCTTGCTAGGATTGGTTGGTGAGCAAAGATGATGATTAATCTCTTGTACCCATTTCTGCCCTTAGGTTCCTGATGTAAAAATATGTTGACAAATGGGTGTGCACCCCAAGAATTTAAAATAGAGCTGACTGTTTTTTCAAATATAAAAGTTTAGGTTTGTGATTTTTCTAGGATTTGTTATAAGATTACCTTTTGAAATAAGTAATAAAGTGATCGATCCTTTCTTTGTAACAAAAAAAAATGCAGCCTGCCAGTAAAAGAACTGACGGAGAAAAACACCTCGCTCACTCATGCTCTGCTTATCTATAACATTGGATATGAAGCAGGAACCCCGAAGGATCATCTCACCTTTAGGCAAGTTCATCAGTCCTCTCTCTGCAGGTTCTTCATGTCCAGTTTATGCAACAGTCCAGGCAAGAGCAGTTTCTTGCCCAAACGGCTAACCAACTCCATAAGGAGCCTCTTCGATGCCCATCTTCCTCTTGAAGTAGCTGGTGCTGCCAGGAGCAGATATGTCTCATTGTCATGAAAAATCCTAAGTTATTAAAACATTTTAAATGCCATATTCTGTTGCCTTTGAAAGATATAAAGAATGCCTATCTAACTCTCTATATTAATATATTTCTATATTGAAGGCGTAAGTCACGAACAAGGCCACACCAGTTTGGAGTTATGATTAATAGGGTGTTATTTATTTAAAGGGGAAAACTTACAGATCACCGTCCCAGACAACAGCCATCTGCACAACCAGGAAGGGAGTCTAGTCTCCGGTGGAGCAGGAAGTGAAGAGAGCGAGCAGAGGAAATAGCCGCTTTTTTAAAGGGAGAGAGACCACGCCCCAATGGGCTGGTATCACAGCAGCTATTGGTTGGAGGGGCGGAAGGACCTCCCGCAACACCTCCCCCTTTTGTTTAAGTAAGAGAGTTCTAAACCTACTATGAAATTATATACAATAAGTACAAATATCCTATTCTAACTAGCTTAGGTCTTGTATAATAAATAACTTGGCCAAGTCGTGAGAAAAAAGTAACTACATTTATATAGTCTTCAACCCCATCAAAGATCTGAGAAGGGAAATAATGTTAACTGGGTAATTAGGAAGTTCAGTAAAACAACTTCCAAAACATGCAACAAATCACAGAGACAACTAGCTACCTGGGCAATCACCCAAAGTCATGTTTGCAGCGTTGAAGCAACCAACTTTGGCTAAGGCCTAACATAACTGACATACCATTTTCAAAGGCAAGCAACTTTTCAAAACTATCTTACCCTGTCTTGGCAGGATATGACAGTCCTGTTTTATTTATTGATGCACGCTCTGTATCTCTGTCAGTTGTTGAGGTATGGGCATTTCTTTGCCCCAAGGCCAGTTCTGCCAAAAAGAAAGGCTCCAGGTGGAGTGTCTTTGGTGCTCAACATTCTCTCGGGAATAGAGCGGTGTTGCCAGGAGCAATTGTGTCTCACTACCACAAAACTCTGAGTTAGATTAAAGGCCATATTCTACAGCTCTTCAAAGAGGTTGAAGATTATCTATCTATACTGAGTATAATCTCTCTATATATAAAGAACCTGATTAGTCTAATTATAAATGACAAACTTAGATGACTATTAATCTATATAATTCTCAATATCTATCTAACTTAAAGACTAAGACAATAAACAACTGTGCAATATATGGAGACAATGATCTTCATCTGTAAACAATGTCATTACATATCAAATGTAAACAATGTTATTACATAAATAGTATCAGAGGTAGAAATGTACATTGTGATATGGTAGATGTATCAATACAATATAAGCATACTCTTATACAAAAATAGAGGTAGGAACACTCACATTCAATATTCAATATGTCAATATACAGGAAACAGTACCAATACAATTTTCTAAAAACAGTAACTCACAAATACCAATCATCCCATCAAACCAGTTAATCCCCCCTTTTTTTTTTTTTTTTACATACCCCTAACTCCATAAAACATCTCCCCATCCCCTCAACCCCAAACCAACCACTAAAAGATGTCCCTAACCCTGAGGGCAAACTCTGTTGGGGGAGGGGACGCCGTCCTCTAAGATTGCTTCAAGCTGACATGGGGGCGATGTTCTCCTTAGGGGCTCCTGTGAAAGCAAATGATGGTAAAATTCCCAAATTAACCTTTGGCCTAAGAAAATTATAACTAGTCCCTGAGCGCTTTGAGAAGGTCCGGCCAGAGTGTTGTCAAAAAATGTGCACCATTCGAAATTGTCTTGTGCAGTTGGTACCAAAAAAAATTATTAGCACGTAGAAAAGAGAAAAAAAGAAAAAAAAATATATTCAATATATTCATGACGTCATAAAAACCAGGTTGAGTTGATGTTGTGGGGCCCCATCTTCATCCTGGAAACTTCAAAAATTACTGTAGGAAAATTTGTTGCTTGTTATGGGAAATTTAGACACTAACAACAAGGACATATACTGACATATAAAGAAAGACACAGATACGAGGAAAAGCAAAAACAAAAAACAAAAAACATATATACATAAATATATAAAAAATCAATACTTACGGTATGTATATAATGTTAGTTGATCCTTAGTAGGTCGTAACTATTATCCATCCATCAGTAATTAAATATTCAGGGTCCCTTAAAGTCTTTGAAGATCAATATTTTCCTGTGGAGATAAGAAAAGAACCCTGCCCCCAACCTATCTGTATTCCTTACCATCAGTATGCTCGCCAACCTTGTGAAAGAATTGTTATTTATCTTTTCCAAATGGCTTTTCTTCTTCATACCGAACCTTTATTAGTTTTGTCGGTATCCACAATTGTTCCTCACCTGTGGAGATAAGAGCAAAACCCCTTCCCCAACGCAGCACATCTCCTGGCTTCCATTGTGAGGTCAGCACATCCTTGAAATAAACTGGTTGATTTAGTTCAGTAGACTTTTCCATTATCCAATGTCTTTCTGCAGCCGTTGTCCCCTTCTCATTAGCGTTAAGAAAATTCAAGGTTAACAAAGCATTATGTAACCTATTTCTGGGGGTGTTTTCCACCCCTTTCTGTTTATTCAACATATCTTTTATAGTTCGATTTGATCTTTCTATGACTGCTTGGCCTGTAGGATTGTATGGTATACCTGTAACATGCTTGATATTGTAATAATCAAAAAACCGTTTCATTTTCCTAGAGGCATAAGCAGGACCATTATCTGTCCAAATTCCAGGCCAACCTCGGACACTTGGAACCCTGCCCCAAAACAAGCGAACAACCCAGGTGCTTGCCAAATTGATACTACTAGGCAAATTGTGGCCGATGAAGCTAACTAGTAAATTTGTTACTCAACAAGTCCTGAAATTGTGAGATGACACTAATGTGTTTCTGTAACGTGCTCATGAGAATGGTTCACTTGCTTCTGGCACTGAGAATAGGAACTCAGGCTGTTCAGGCCTCGGTTAGGGGATAAACATCTCCCAAGGTGGCCTAGCACCTTACACGGAAACCGCTCTTGTGCAGCCTCACACAGTGCGCAGGCACAGAGCGGTGCATAGGCAAAAACTCTTAAGCCTAACAACTAGAGACGGTAGTGTTGGACAGAATCACCGCGCAGGCATTTTCCCTCTGGGTGGCTAGTCTACGCTAGCAGCAGCGCAGGCGCAGAGAAGTGCAAAACTGAGGTTTGCAACGGGGTTTGGGATGGACAGAGCTGGGTAAGGGAGCGCAGGACCTGCAACACCGCGCAGGCGCACTTCCACTTTCCTGCTGGTGCGCAAACGCAGACCGGTGCGCGAGCGTGCGCTTGCGCGGAGTTGAGGCGCGATGGCAGGTGTCGGGGTCAAGCAGGCGATGGTGCGGTTTGCGCTGCTGGTGCTCACTGTGTGTGCTGCTGGTGCCCATGGGCTCTATTTCCACATCGGCGAGACTGAGAAGCGTTGCTTCATCGAGGAAATACCCGACGAGACCATGGTCATCGGTCAGGGGGCTGAGGGTGGAGAGGCCCTTTGTTTTCGCCTGGCCCTCGGAAGGGCCCCTCCTCCCCTGTCAGCTCGCCCCCATCCTGATGGTGCCTTGAGGGCGCCAGGTCCCCTCCCCAGCGCCCTGGGGCCGCTTGTTGGGGGCCCCGGGTCGTGACTGTGTGTCTGCCCCGCAGGCAACTATCGAACCCAGATGTGGGACAAGCAGAAGGAGGTCTTCCTGCCCTCGACCCCTGGCCTGGGCATGCATGTAGAAGTGAAGGACCCGGACGGCAAGGTAAACACGCCTTCCCCGGAAAGCTCTAGCGGGTGTCAGAAGTCCATTAATGTCATTATGGGATGTAAAGTACCGGTAGCCTTGGTCCTGAGAAAAGATCTCTAGGCATCAGATCTTGCATTTTGAGAGGTCGTTGTAAAGTTGGTGCCTGATGCATATTGCAGGTGGTACTGTCCCGGCAATATGGTTCCGAGGGCCGCTTCACGTTCACGTCGCACACACCCGGTGACCATCAGATTTGTCTGCACTCCAACTCCACCAGGATGGCTCTCTTCGCTGGAGGCAAACTGGTAAGAAGCTCAAACTGAGAGTTTTTCCTTTGATCTATTGCCATCTTTCATTCTTTTTCTTTTAATCTTGCCTTTTGGGGGAAGCAGGTGCGCACGGTCAGAACTGGGGAGACCAGGCTTGCCCTTCTGCCTCAGCCAGAGACGAGAACGGACTCCATAACAGTAACAGACAGTAGGCGGCACCCACTCATTCATTCCTGTTTCCTCGTAGCGTGTACACCTGGATATCCAGGTTGGGGAGCATGCCAACAACTACCCTGAGATTGCTGCTAAGGATAAGTTAACAGAGCTCCAGCTTCGTGCTCGCCAGCTGCTTGATCAGGTGGAACAGATCCAGAAGGAGCAGGATTATCAGAGGGTAAGGGCGTGTGTCTCTTTGCACTTGGAGGCTGAGACTGACCTTTAAAACCCACAGTGCAACGTTTCTGTTTGGGGCCTTCCCTACCTGCAAGATTAGTTTTTCAGAGAATGAATTGGGAGCTATCAGTCCATGTAGGTGAAGTTTGCTTTTTCTTTTTGGCACTTCATGTGCATGTCTGCAGTGCCGAGGGTTGGATCCATGGCCTCTCTTGAGTGTTAGTCAATATCTCTACCACTGAACCACACCTCCAGTCCATCATACATATATATGTTTACACACACACACATTTAAATCCTACACCACCTGGTATTTTCCATCCAAGTACTAGCCTGGCCTGGCCCTGCTTAGCTTCTCAGATCAGATCTCAAGGGTTCAGAGTAGTGTGCCTGTGGCCCCTTTTTTGTTTTGTTTTGTTATGGAATACGTATAAAACTTAGCATTTTAACTGTTTCTAAGTATATAATACTTTAGCATTAAATATTCATGTTGTGTTGCAACCATCACTGCCTCCTAACTTCACCTTCCCAGAGAATCTGAACCCGTCAAACGCTCCACTTCCCTCAGTGCAGTTTTGATTTTTTGGTCTGTGGTCCTGATTAGTGTTAAACACTGATTCCCCACTTACCTTCCTATGTTGCTGTTCTACTTTTTTTAAAAAATATTTATTTATTTATTATGTATACAATATTCCATCTGTGTGTATGCCCACAGGCCAGAGGAGGGCACCAGACCCCATTACAGATGGTTGTGAGCCACCATGTGGTTGCTGGGAATTGAACTCAGGACCTTTGGAAGAGCAGGCAGTGCTCTTAACCACTGAGCCATCTCTCCAGCCCCCTGCTGTTCTACTTTTTTGCTTATAGTCTTGACCACTGTAATTCAACTAAATACAATCCTTTTGTGACTGTCTTAGTTCATTTATCACAATGTGTCCAGGGTTCATCTGTCCTGTAGTGTGTCACAACACTCTGTTTGTCACATTTGTTTATTTTTGCAGTGCTAGAAGTTGAACCTCATTGAGGCTAGATAAGGGCGCTGAAGTCCACCATACCCCCACTTAAAGATTTGTTTTCTTATCAGTTATGTGTATATGTGTATGGTTTATGTGTAAATGCAGGTGTTTAAGGAGGCCAGAGGCATTAGATTCTTGGAGTTACAGGTGGTTGTGAGTCACCTGACATAGGTGTTAGGAATCGAACTCAAGTCCTCTGGAAGAGCAATACATGCTCTTAACCACCGAGCCATCTCTCCAGCCTCTGTCCAACTGTAGAGCTCTCCTTTTAAGTGGAATAATAGCCTGTTGTATGTAGAGACCTCATCTTGCTTTGGGTAGTTATTTCTAAATTGTATGAGCCATTCTAGAGAGGACAACGCACAATTTAGTAGTACCTATTGCTTGTATTCCATGGGCTCTTATTATAGAAGCGTTATGTTAGTCCTAGCAGAGATGGTTGTAGAGGGACATCACTTTCCTTCCTAGGGGTAGTCTCGGGGAGACTAGTCACCTGACGGAATTACAGATGGTGTTCCAGAGGCATTTGGTCTGGGAGTTGTGTGTCACACAAATAGAGGGCCCTTGTAATGGCAGATTGTGTTTTCCTACCCATTCTAATCCTTTGCTCACTGTCCCGCGCAGTACCGTGAAGAACGCTTCCGCCTGACGAGTGAGAGCACCAATCAGAGGGTCCTGTGGTGGTCCATCGCCCAGACTGTCATCCTCATCCTCACTGGAATCTGGCAGATGCGGCACCTCAAGAGCTTCTTTGAGGCCAAGAAGCTGGTGTAGGGCTCTTGCCGTATAACCCTTTCCCTTTACCTCAGTTAGTTGATCATTTCCCCACCTAGCCCCACCCACCTGGATTTTGAGGAGGAGGAAAAGTGAAAAACCAATGTGTCTCACATTGGTGTCTTGGCAATAAGCCGCTGAGATCAGCTACCTTTTGACCCTGGTTCTCCAAGAAGCAGACATTGGTCCACGCTTTCAAAATCCGCCTTAGGGTTTGGGAGAAGTTGGAATTAACCCAAGATCAAATCATTTCTTTTGCCCCTGGTGATTCTCCTGTTTTTGAAGAGATGACCAAATGCTCTTCTGTTTTCTGGTTGTCTATTTCTGCAGTAGACAACCGGCATGTTCCATGGAGGAGGCCCTGCCTCGGTGTTCCTGGGTCAGTCCTGAGTTCTTTCAATGGCTTTGTGAATGTAAATAAGGGGCAGTTCTTGGCCCTGAAGGATTGAGATGTTTTCTATATTTTAGAACTATTTTTGGATAAATTATATGTATTTTCCTTCCTGGTTGAATCATCACTGCCTGTAATAGCCAAAAGCACCAATCCAGACCTTATGCATTCTACTTAATTCCCACACTTTTAGCAACTGCCATGACGTGCTCAGAATTTTAGCAGTCTGGGGCCAGAAAGCAGATTCTGTAGTTACTCTCAAGTCCACGTTACAAGGCCAAGAAGAGTTCTCTTGAACACTTGTGAGTCCGATCCGTCAGTCCCAAAGTTGAAGAGAGGGACAGAGTAACTTGGAGCAGTGCATTCTCCCCTCAGTTTTCACTAAGCAGTGGCAATGGTTTGTAGGTTCTTTTTGTTTTGTTTTTGAGACAGTCTCTGT